TTTTTTATCGAAATTAAGAACTCTTAATCTCCTGCCAAATTATGTATAATTTTATCCTTTTTTCGCTTTAGGGCGAGCCATTTTCTGCTCTTCAAACTCTCCTTGATTGCCCTCCTATTTGCCAAGGGCCAGTCATTCCTTCCCCGTTGAGCTCTGGAGGAGCTGCACCAGGTCCAGACGAATTCTTTTCCTTATCACCCACTCCTTTCTCTTATTCATCACCACCTTCATCTGCATTCGCTCACGTTTATCCATCTGTCTTCAAGTTTTACACATTTTTACGCTCACATCCTCTCGTTTTGCGGCAGCAACGTGTAATGATGGAGCGTGAAGCCGCCGCTGGACTTGAGCCCGCTGTTTCCAACCTTCGTTTGGCTTGTTTGGAGCGTCGGCTCTACTTTCGTACAGCATATCATTATTCTGCGATGGGCTGTCCGGCTCTGGCACTTGATGTACTTTCTCGTTTGCCTGCTCGTCTACCCAAGATATCTAGATCTGCTGCCCTACGAACTCCCAACTTCAATCCGCGCAGCCTTAGTGTGGCTTCCGAGAGCAAGATAGAAGATACCAAAAGCTTTAAAAGCCTCAGGTTTATTAATACACATGCCTTGATGATGTTTTATTTTTGAGGGTTTTTATTTCTCTGCCAATTCTCAGCTGGTAGTATTTGGACAGTTTTAGGCTTTTACGATCTGGATTTCTTATGCTTTACCCATTTATTTTTCGTATGTAAGTAGAGTTTTGAGACTACCAATAAATCAGTAATACGAAATGTATTCACTCTATTTCGGTTGTGAAGGACTGGTAATAGAATTTTCCCGCAATGATGTGAGTATGGCTGACGTTTCCATTGAATTTCACATAACTTTGCTTTCCAAAAAGTTGTTCTCATCCATTCAGTCAACACTGGGTGTGAACATTTTTTTGTTGAAGCAAGGTTATGTGAAATTAAATGTAAACGTCAACTCTATCTATACCATTGTGGGAAAATTCAAATACCAGTCCTTCATCA